GTCTTAACTTGGGTCTGAGGTCATCTCGAGGCTTTACCGATAAAAAGAATAAAACCCATGATTTTGAAACCACCTCCTATTAAAGATGTATTCTATTTCAAGTCAGTGTATACTTAAAACAAACTAAAAAGGCCGTTTGATTTCTGAAGGTTACTGCCACCACATAACTTTCAACAAGCCTTTCGAACATCCTCATTTTGTTTGTTTAGTTTCCCTTATTGTTGTACATACTGGATAATACAGGACCAATCCAGTGGGATTTAAAATAGTTTTTCGATAACCTGTTGAAATTAAACAAACAAGTGAAATTTACTATACATATAACAAAAGAATCTAAGTACAATAGAAATAGCTTCCTCATAACATAAAGCTTTACACTATCGTTAATCCAAACCTCAAAAAGAGAAGTAATCAAATTAGGAGATAGATGGCGAATGCCTGCTTCCTCAATGGTGTTATGCTCAAACTGCTTCAGTGTCTGTATTTCCATATGCACAAGAAAGTGGTAAAAGGTGTATAGGAAAAGGAATTCCAGAAACATTTTGCCCTGCTAATGGACAAAGATACTGCTCTATAGAGCTCCTTATCATAAAATGCAAGAAGTTGCTTCACATGATTATGCCAAGCAGCAACGTTTTGCCCGTCAACTGTAACCCTCAACAACTGTAGATGCCGGTTGCTCCCCCACTCATCAAGCTGCAGTATAAATCATAATTTAAGATTTAAACAGAAACTAGAAAACAAAAAAAAAAAAAAATGAAAATAATCATAGGTGTGACACTTTCAAAGTGAGAATTCTAGCATTGCTGCTGTTTTTACTCAAATGGTTTGAGAATTACACATTCCGTAATGATATTAAATTACTCAGATGTGGTTGTTACTCACCAACCCCTGACATATTTGCAATCATCCAAGCATTTTGAGCATTCAAAACTGCAGTCTTAAGTTCAGGCAACCATTTCTCCGTGACAATTTTCTCTGCATCAGCCAAGTTCAAACAATAATTAGTTGTCCTGCAAGATGTATTAAACATGAATAATGTAAATTATGAACTCGAGAATTCTTGAAATAACATTTTTTTTTGGGGGGAGGGGGATATAGATATATAGATCTGATACATCAACCAGGTTCCTTTTTAATAGTTGGTGCATGAAAATTATGATACAGAGGGTTTAGGTACTATACTACTGTAAGCACAGATACAAAAACAATACATCAAGGATATAAGACCAAAACAGACAGAAGGAATTAGAATGTAACCTAGTGCAACACCCAAACCAAAAAGCACATTTCGAAGTCTGCATTGTACTAAGTTATCGACACTAACATAATAAAATAAAATTCTGCGAAGTCCTTGCATAAACAAATTACCTAAAAACCAGGATAAACAAATGGGTAATCTCCAGAATTACTTCATATTCTGTTGAGCTCTGTAGGCATGATTTAACAAGGAATGACCACTTTCAACAAGACCTGCCGTATATGGACCAAGTTGATTGCCTTTGCCAATCCTCCAACACACAGCCTCAGAACCACGAATTTCAAACAGAATTCTAGAGACTCTAACACTGATGCTAAGCCAGCATCTGAACCCTCCAAACCTGTAATTACAAAGTCAATCAATTGACATAAACATAGAAAAGCAAAAATGCACACCACCATCAAGGAGGTTCTACTACTCATCAATCTTCCTAAGCAAACATGAAACAAGCTCCAAAAACCTCTTTAGCATTTATTTTTCTATACAAATGATGACAATTCCGCATCTAATATTGTTCAATACCTCCAAGCTATAGTCAATCAGAATATAAAAAAAAGGAAAAAAAAAAAAAAAAATTTACGGAAGTCACTTTCTGCATAGGGAGATATCCACCTGGAAAAAAGCAAAGATATATCAATGGTTAACAGGTTATCTAAAATACTACACACGAAAGTTATCATATTGGTCAAATTAGTGTTAAATGTATATTCTAAAAGCAAATTTCAATTCATCATCCATTAATCCTAAACCTAAACCACCTGATGTAAACCTATTCAAATGACAATAACTTTCTTCCATTAACTCTAAGGTTTGATTCGTTTGACACATAGATGTTTTGAGTACTCAGCTATCACACAACACCCAGCCAGGACTCGAGGACATGCTGCTAGTCAGCAATGTAGTTCATACTCACCAGCAGGATATTGAAGGGAGGCAGAAACACGGCATATGATGGAATTGCTATGGATCCCGAGCACCTGCTCTTCAGTCATAGAGCAGCATTCTTTTCTGCAGCAGCAATAGCTTCAGGTCCTGTAGATCCATTAGCACCCATAGCTTCGAGAAGTGCCTATATAAATTAAAAGAAAATTAAGTGCAACTGAGGGATGCATCATAATCTTCAGAAATTTGATATTAAAACTAGGTATGTAATCAACACATTATACAGCTGCTGTCTTACAACCTGTGGAGTTGATGGAAGCATGTAAAGACTATTATCTGGACTTCGATAGAAGGCCGAGACTTCTTTGTCAATAAAATCTTGGCACTATTTGAAATGTCAATAACACATGTGCATGCAGGAATGATAGTGCTTGACGCATACTCCCTTGCAGCTAATGGCTGCTGATTCCAGATGCAGCTGCATCCTGTAAGCATATGGAATCGTGGTAAGAATATTACAATAGCATCATATTATCAGCATATTGTCATAAGAGCAATTGTGTTTACATTTTAAGTCAAAACAGATCAATCACCAATTGCCCTGTCATAAGTGCCACAAATAATTTAAATGAGTTTTACTACTATCCTTAAGATAGATGCTCACCATTTAGCCCTGGATAGAGCAGTATATATGGTTTCAAGTTCAGATCTACGAGAATCAAACTCTTCAATCTTCTTCCACTTTTTTCTCAAGGAATCCTCAGCTTCTTTCCTCTCGCACACAATTTACAAGCGCTGTATTTCAGACATCAAAGTATTCAGGCTTGCCCTCAATCCTGCAGCTTCTCTCTCCTTTGCCCAAACATCCAACTGCAAATAGAACAAGGAAAAAATATAATTCATATTAACTTTCCAGGATTTGGCAGTCCAAAACATTTCACCTCATGCCCAAAATAAACAATTTTTTTATGAATGACAGGAAACAAATTTAAACATTTAGCACAGCAGTCCAAAACCAATATGGTCAAATAATAATGTACTAGCTTAAGTATCCACACAACTGACTGTATGATAGTACGATGATATTTGGCTGACATTGCAACAGAAAAAATAAAATAAAAAGATGCAACAAAAAGGAGCAACTAACTTGACAAATTTCCCTAACTTTCTGAATATGCTTTTGTCAAGATTCATAATGTTAGAATGAAATATAACCACAAAATCACGTGTTTAGGTCAAACCCATTAGTAAAAATGCAGCAATTTACATGTATAATATTGGCTTTACTGGTGCATTAGAAGGTCTAAAATATGTGCAGGAGATTCATAATTATACCCTATTGATGAAGGATGTTAGGCTTAATAGATACAAAAAGTCCAGAGGATGAGACATTCAATCCCACAAATGCTGATCATTAACCTTAACACAAGATAAAGTACAAGTGTACTAGTGGCTGATAAATTGGAATCATCACTTTGAGACTAAAAGTTCAATGACACCCTCCAAGGAGAGAGAACTTTAGCTACCACAAATACAAAAACTGTAGCATAGAATACATAATTGAACAGTCAAAAAATAAAAACAATGATGAAAATCTAAACAAAAATCCTGCACAGAAATGTCTTACCAAAATATTTATGGCTAACAACCTAAACTCAAGGAATTACCTCGAATTGCCTAAGACTGCCTACATTCTGTATGTGCCTCCAGCAAGGGAGGTGGATGAAATTGCATCCCCACTTCCATGTAAACGTTTTATAGCTTTGACACAAATCCCTAGCTTCTGCAGCTTTGTTGAGTGCATCTTCAGTGGCCAAAAATTGCTGAACATGTGCTTTCTGAAGACAATCACGTTACTAGATATCAGTTTAACACCCAAAAGATTAGGCAGAGAAATTTCAATAAGCATTAAGTCAAAAGAAGTTAAACCCAAAACACCCACTCAAACAGTATCGATTCTAGTTAAACAGTACCAAAACCCCTGAACTACATTGGCAGTTATAAGGGTGTGAGCACGTGATTGGTAAACTAACTTCAATAATACTTAAAATGAAAAGAAGAAGAAGGTACAACTCCAAGGTCCACACTGAAACAACTAAATGCACATGTCATACAAAAGTAACTTTGAGAAGAGTAAGACCTGTCTCTCAAGAAGCTGGTTTTGAGTTCCTCTGAGATGCATCCCTCCTATCTTCCCATTACCATAAAGTTGATAGTTTTCATGGTAGAACCACATCTGGAGAAGAAACATCCATCACTGTGTTGTTCTCATACTTGTACCTAAGAAAGAAATTAAGAACTCTCAATTCAACAAAAGAACCATGGAACTTAACCAAAATATGTTTGTAAATGTAAAAGAGAGCCAACTAGCATCTTTCTTTCTGGAGTAGTTTGAAATGATAGAATAAACACCAAAAGACAATTATGTGTCCCAGACAAGTTGAAGAAAAAGATTCATACTCAAAAGAAGTATAAATAGGCCATTACATCAAGTATCGCCATTGACCTTACAAATAACTAGACCAGTAATATTTCATCTTTACATTCACAGAAAATTATCTCTACCACTGTAGCACATGGTTTTTTTAATTTCTGAATGATATATTATCCACCGCTTAAGTCAACAAATGATTATATTCTAGTCCACAAAAAGACTGTAAAACAATGCACTGTAAAGAACAGGATACAATCGAGTTAAGAAGACAACGCAAGTTCTATTTCTGTGCAAAGTACAGAAAAAATTTATGGTATAAATGTGATGTAAGGCAGTTGAAATAAAAATTAAAGAAAAAAGGCTCATCAAAGAGTAACAAAAGTAAGTGATAAAATGAGAAAGAGAGAGAGAATGAGACAGTACCTCAAAGTTTCCGCATCAGCCCTAACATCAATTTTCTCGATTTCTCGAGAAATCATAGTCTTCAGCCTTAAAGTGTATGCTGTGATTGCTTGAAGCAATTGGGGAGGACTCTTCAGGCAATTCACAATAACAGTTCTAACCTCATCAGGTATTTCACCCTCAAACTCCAAGCCCAGCTTTGCAGCTTCTAATTGCGGATTCGAATGAATACCAGTTCCTTCATATCCTGGAAATGACAAGCGTATTTTTTCAATCATATGTGCGGCAAGAGATTCACATGCCTTCCGGATATTTCTTTCCCTAGTTGTTTCAATAAGAATGACATCATCCGCAGATTTTGAGCCCTTAACAGTTGAATAAACAGCTTCCTTCTCACTGTTTCCAGTGAAGGTGTTAACCACTTCAACAGAAGAGTCAACACTTGTCCTTTGAGCATCCCTTGCTTGATTAACATATTGACGAAAGCGTTTATGGTACTCTGCAAATATTTTGGCCGCTTCATCACACTGTTGATCATAAGCTTCCAACGTCACCTGCTTATGTCTGCACTACCAAAAGGAACAAATCAGTTGGGATACACAACCATTCTAAATTAAGTCTAGCAGAAGTAGAGCAGCAATTAATTACTTAGCATCAACCTGCTCATTTTCAAGCAGCTCATTTCACCAAGGACTTACAGATATTAAAATGTCATACTGCTAACATTCCACTTCAACATACCATATAAAAGAAATATCAAGTCATTTCAAAACCAAATCAAAACAGAACACCCAATCATAGCACAACCACATTGACATACAAACCTGTAATTTGCTCGTTCATCAAGCATCCGCTTGCGCTCAGCCTCCTCCCTCGAAATCTCCAACATTCTAGCCCTCAAATCTTTCCTTTGTCTCCTCAAAATGTTCCTCAGCCTCTCAACTTCCTTGGCAGCCAACTCTCTCTCATTCAAAGCTGCCTCTCTACTCTCGTTGGTGCTCCCACTTTCTCTCTCCACCGGAACCTTCTCCTTCCTCCTCCCTCCTCTACTTTTTCCCTCCTCTTTCCCCAAATTGACCGAATTGCCACTCTCACCACCACTACCACTACCATGGACCGTTATGTTCTTCCTTATATTCTCCACCGTTTTGTCCGATTTCACTCTCTTAATCAAAAAACTCCAAATCGGTATCATATTCCCACGGCAAATCTTGCGAATGGTATCCACAGACGGTGCATTTGATTTGCTCGTGGAACTGTACGGTCCAAGTGGCCTATAACCCATTTCCTTCTGAAGCCACTCTAGTATGGCCTCTGGTTGAACCGTCGACGAGCTCGATGAGCTCTGCATTCTGGAGACAAACGAACGAACAAGGTAGTAATAAATTTGATGCTTGTACTTTCAAATGCGAATCCCTAATTTGTAAATCTGAATGAGTGAATGCACACACATGCTTACGCACACACGTACGTATGGTTGGACAGAAAGAAGATGATGAAATTGAAACCCTAAATTGAGAGAGAAACGAAGCAGATCTGACAAAATGGCCGGCGAAAGAGGACGAAGAAGAAGCGCGGCATGACGACGACGTATTGATGAATCGAAAATACAAGTTCAAAAAACACAGAGGTCCCGCTCTCTTGCTGTTTTATTAAGGAACTCCTCTATAAATTAATTAATAGTTGATCAAAAATGGTCATATCTTGACAGATGTAACATTATGGTTAATCTTGATTAACCATGAAAATAATCATTAACTTTGATGGAGGACCAAGACCAAGACCAAGACTATCAAAACCTTTTGCTCTTGCTTTGTCGGATGAGTGGTCACCGGCTCACCCACCCACTTCACTGCGAACATTCCCATGAATATTTCGTTAAGTTAAACTACTGTTTCTTTAACGGATTCATTTACATAAAAAATTAAAAAAGAAATAGACTAAGATTTCGAATCAAATATATTAAAAATAAATAAAAAGATTTTAAAATAATTTCTAAATTTAATATCCAATCCAATTCAACCCAAACCAAAGACATTTGATCCTCAACTATTAATGTATTTATTTTTAACATGTATTTTTAGTTATTATTATTATTTTGTATTTTCTTTTTATGCACTTAATCATATGGAATTATAAATACTTAATCTCAACACTTTAATAAGTAATGATAATAAACTTTTTTTTTTTTTTTTTTTTTTAATGATAGAACATGTTCGAGCCAATTTGTACGTATCTCAATATTCTCCTAAGACCTTAGAATTATCGACCTAACCCCCTAGTGTCTTGAAACTATCGGCTAAGTCCCTTAGAGCTAGACCTGGCAAAACGGGTCTGGACCCGCGGGTTGGACCGTACCCGGGTAAATAATATAGGGTACGGGTCCAATTTATTAAACCCATTTTTTAGACCCGTACCCGTACCCGGCCCTAAAAAAATGGTTTATACGGGTGAACCCGCGGGCACCCGCGGGCACCCGTATTTACAGAAATCGTTTTTAATTTTTTGAATCCCTAATTTTTTTCACGCAGCACAGCAGTCACGGTCACGCCTCTCACTCTCTCAGTCTCATACTCTCAATCTCATCTCTGATCTGATCTCTCAAACTCCACATCTCTGATCTCTCACTCTCATAGTCTCATCTCATCTCTGATCTCTAAGACTCTAACTCTCAGATTCTCAGCAATAATAAAGTTTTTCAGTAATTACAAAAAAATATCATTTTAAAAATTAAAAATTAAATAGAGAATCAAGGGCAGTTTCCTTTCTTTGTTTTTTGTTCATCCACTACAACCATTTCTCTTTTGACAGTACCAAAGACAGCATAAAAAGCAAGGCAAATAACAGCAGAGAAAAAAGAAAGAGAGAGAAGAAAGTTACATTCAGAGATCTAACCAACATGGGTTAGAGGAAAGCCAAAGCAGCTGAAGCTGTAGTCGAGAACTATAAACTTTAGTTTTGTATCTACAAGTTTGTAAATTTTCAGTTACTTGGTTGTTTTGAGTTTTGATTTGTTTCGTTACTTTTGTGGATTTCAACGTTCATCTAGTGGTTTATAATTGTTTGTAACCTATGAAAAGATGTGTGAATTTATATTACACTGTGGAATTTTATCTTTTTTTCTTTTTGTTGATCAGTTTCTTTGTTTCTTTGTTTGATCGTGTGTATTATGTTGTGTATTGATGATCAGGTTAATTGTACAGATTTTGAGGGTAGCTTTTACTTTTTTTCGTAGTTGTGATAATTGACCTGAAGTTTATTGGTCAGGTAATTGAGTGATCTTTCAATTGTGTTGTTGAGAGTTTGATCTTTGGTAGTTTTGGCTGATTTGGACACTGAATTTGTTTTTGTTTGCAGTACAAGAATGAGAGATTGAAAGCTTTTTATCTATCTATAAGTTCTTAGGCGGCTCAATTATCTGTTTGTGATCATACATATCCACAAACAGTTTTGGTCCATTGTTTATTACCTGAATTCGGGTGCTGTTTTGAGGATCACATTTTCGTCTGATCAGAGTTAGAATTGGTTGGGATCATGGCAAAGAGTGCGGCGCAGGCGGATTCTAGACGAATGTATTCTTGTGGTGGGATAGCCACATAGCCCGAAAAATTCCAATGGCTTCAGGAGAATCTTACAGTATTACTTGTTTCTTATGGGTTTAATTTGCATTTTCTTTGAGATAATGTCAGCTTAAGTCTTGTAGCTTGAATTTATGGGTATTTAATTTCCTTTTCATAATGCCTTATGAAGTTTTTAGTATGAGATAATTTAAGTTTCATAATTTTTTATAAGGTTATAGCATGAGATAATTGTACTTTGAGAGAAAAGAAGTCTAAAGATATAGTTTTGAATACCTTGAAACAAGTTGAAAATATAGATGATGATTATGTTGTTACTAGACTTCAATGCTATGAGTTTTTTATCTTATCCAACTTGTTTGAGAGTAAATAGGCTTGTTGACTCTCAGGACTGGCTCTTGATGTAATTCTTTTTGTCTATCAATCCCTGCTTGTGATTGATATAATTATTCTGCTGCTGAAACAGATATGGATGCCAAAGTCAAACAAATGATCAAGGTTATTGAAGAAGATGCAGATCTCTTCGCAAGGAGGGCAAAATGTACATAAGAAATGGCCTGAGCTTATGAAATTGGTTGAAGTTTTACAGGGCATACCGTGCATTGGCTGAAGATTGATCATGCAACGGGGGCACTCCGCCAGGCTCATCGAACAATGGCAGAAGCATTTCCCAACCAAATCCCATTTGCTATGGTGATGATGGGGATCCCCGTACACCTGAGATGGGTCCAGCACGTGCATTGGTTGACCCGATGATGCAAAATGATTCTCTGGGACTCTCTTCACTCATCTCCATGCCTTAAAAGAAATGGAGCATTACCGATCAATCTGATTCTGTAACAACCAGAAAGGGTTTGAAACAGTTTAATGATTTGTCATAATTCTTTAATTGAATGATTTAGAGTAGTTGATTTAGGGGTGTGTAATGTAAAAATTAAAACTGCAGGAATTTGGGGGTGTAATTGTCATAATTGAAAACTATTAGGGGTTGAAACTGTCAAAACTGAAAGTGTGAGAGAGAAAAAACGGTCCACCCGCGGGTCCACCCGTACCCGTATAGGTAGGGCACGGGTCCAAATATTGACCCGTATATATCCACCGTATAAATCCGTACCCGTTTTACCGTACCCGTTTACCCGGCCCATACCCGGCCCACCCACCCGTTTGCCAGGTCCTTAGAGCCTAGAACTATTGTCGAGTACGAGTGTAGTGACCACTCTTATTAACTAGTATGGGGATTCGAACTCGAGACTATAAACTTAGATCTTCTTTTGTTTTTTACTATCGATCACTTTGGTAATGATAATAAACTTCAATACACATCAACCCATATATTCATGATAACATTATTCTCATTTTTTATTTAGTTTAAAAAAATATGAATTTTAACACAAGTTTGTAATATAATTTTTTAGTCTTGATTAACTGTGATTTTTGTTCATATTCTTCTTAAAATTAAATACAATTAAATAAAAGAGAATAGATCTGTCCTTTAAAATTGTAACCTAATATCATGTGCATATCCATATTCAAATTTGAAATCTTCAAAAGTTCCCCATTGTCAAATTGCCTAAATAGTAGAAATTCAGTCTATGAATATGAATATCCCATACATGCATAAAAATAATATTAATATGAGTAAACGACATGTTCCCACCCAAGGTTTGACGAAGTCCTAAGTTGGTACGCCAAGTTTCATTATTCCATATTCTCACCCCTAAATACACTGTTAACATTTTTTGGGTAGTGAGGTGTAATTACCATAATGCCCTTAACCCTAAATTAATAAATTATATTTTAGCCCCTAAATTACTAAAATTATAAATTAACCATCTTATTTTGAAATTACTTCAATTACACCCTCAGTGACTGCGCATCGTCTCAATTTTCATCGTTGGGTTGTTTTCGATGACGGCGAACCCCCGTCACCTCCATCAGCTTCCCCATCATCCTGCGTCCAAACCCCTGATTCCTGACTCATTGACCTCTCCAATCGACGGCGCCATCAAGGTTAGGCTTTCGTCATTCTTCGCCGATTCTGGTCGATTCCAGCGATGAAAAATCTAATTCGACGTCACCACAAAACCAGCATCTCCTAATCTACAAAACCCCTATGTCCCAACAACCATTTAGGGTCTCGCCGATGGAGATCGACGAAAACCAACCGCATGTGGCAGCTATCGTGGCTGGCGATCGACGAGTATAAGAGGTTGTCAGGGTACAGTTTGTAGAGGGGGATGAGGTTCGATTTGGTGACAGGTGATTTTGGGTGGAAGAATAGCTGGAAAAGGGCGAAAAATGTTGATGGTGAGGTTGGCTACGTGCGCCGGAACTTTTCAGGGCTGCGATCTACTAATGTGCCCTCCTCTGTGAAATGACCAAATTACCTCTGAGTCGTTATATCTAACCTTTCCGTTACTTTAAGGGTGAAAATATAGAACAAATGGAACTTGGCGTATCAACTGGGGATTTCGTCAAACCCTGGGTGGGAACAGGTCGTTTGCTCTATTAATTTAATATTTTAGCAATATAAAATCTCACACAATTTCACTTTAATTTAATATTTATCAATATAATTAAATAAATATAAAGTTGGTTGATTCCATTACCATTAGTCTATAGAAAAAGAAAGAAAAGAAAAGCAAGACTCAAAATCAAAGCACAAAAACAAAAAAGGGAGCGTGTGTTGTGTATGACTTAAATTCTGCGTATTCATACTTTTGTCGCCGATGAATTTTAGACCCCAAATATTTTTTTACACATTTTCCATGCATCTATCTATATTAGGTTCTCCGTCTCTGTCTCTGTCTCTGTCTCTGTCTTTCTCTCTGACCCTGTTTTTATCTCACCACCAATTACCCATTTCGTTTATCTCTCTCTCTAGGTATTTCTTTGCTCTCTCTCAATTGGGTATGTTTTGTTTTGTTGTTTTATGTGAATTTTGGGGTTCTTTTCTTTTTTGTTTTTTTTGTCAGAAAGGTTGAAAATTGATGGGTTGATCTTTGCTCTTTTTGGTTTTTTATGGGTTTTGAGATGATGTTTTTGGGGTAATTGAAGTGGGGATTTTTGTATTTTTGTTTGACAATTCTGTTATTGGGGGATGATTGTAATGGAAATCCATGTCTAATGGATGGATGGATGAAGGGATTGGTGGATTATTTGTTGGTTGTTGAATTTTTATTCCTCACCTGCCAAAGAAAGAACCCTTCTTTTGCAATTTTGCAGAAACGTCTTAAAAGAAGAAGATTTGTCATGTTCATGTTGAAAGATGGATTTTTTGTTCAAAACAATGTTTATTCTGGTTAGAAATTTCTTTAAATCGCAATTAAGTTATCTTTCCGTCCCTTGTTTTTCTTAATTTTGAAAATTCTTTATGCATGTGGCATAGAGAAACCGATTTTGTTATTGCATGAATGGAAAATTTGAATGCTGATGTAGAAAAATAAGTTTTGATTGCATCATTGGTGATATATTTGTGCTGTTTGCTGAATGGATTTGTCTTAATTAAGTTTATGAATTTGCTCTGGGCTTGCCTTTGTTGGATGCTTCTCTCTCTAATTCTTGTTTTGTACAACGTTCTTATATTTTACAGGTGAATAAATATAGCCAGGAAATCTTTAGCCAGATAACTAATCTAATTCGGCATCTGTTAGTAAAAGAGGGAGGGTACTGGTTCGCCGAGGCAGTGAGACTTCTGCGAGCTTAGCGTCCTCTCTCGTGGTATACTTATTATTGTATACTTGTTGAACGTCTGCATAGTGCGAATGAGCTCTGGATGAGGTCGAATAATTGCTGTAGTGGGTAGAAAGGAAGAGATTGAAGTTTACAATAATGGGTTCTGTTTGCTGCTGTTTGAGTGTTGAGGATTTAGAGGATTATCTGAATCCGAACAGTTCTGTGTATAGGAATTGCATGTGTCTCAACTGCTTTGTCCAGAATTTTGTACATGTGGTATGTCTTTTGCCTCTTGCTGCGAAAACTTGCTTTCTGTTTTAGATTTAATTTTGTTGCCATATTTTTCTTGTTGTCATAGACTTGGTCTATCATGTAAACTGTCAGCACTTAGTCTTTCCTGTGTGTGAATATCTTTGTGGCTGCGGTGAATACTTTTTCCAATAATTGGTCTTGATCTATTTCATTCTAGTTCACAAAGAAGATGATATAATGTTATTTTCTCATTGTTTTTAGTATACCTCATTATTCCAACGAGGAGAAGTGCATTCTGTACCTTCATCCATACAGGGGGCAGCATCAATGACTTCTGCTGCTTCACTTGACAACTCCCTCTCTGACATGTATCGTTCTCCTCCAAGGCCCTTGCCTTATGATGCCGATCCCAGATATTTCCGCTTGCAGCATGATGGTCTGGTGTCAAGACGTGAGAAGGGTTCAAGTCAATTCCATGAGGAGTCAGAACCTTTAAGAAGTGATAACGATGCAGATTCAGAGTCATTAAGTGTTGGAGACAAGTGGAATGATTCCTCTTGTGAAGATGGATCAAAAGAATACCATTCTAAATCATCACTTAAGCTTTCATCAACAAAAGCGACACCTGGAATCGGCTACATTTATTCTCCGTCAGAAGAGGAGGATGTCTGTCCAACATGCCTTGAAGGTAAATTTTTTTAATGCAATTTTACACTTGTTTCCTCCCCTTGGTAACCTATTTTTCCATGTTCATGGGTTTTTTCTTGACATGTTGCAAGACTAAATTGGACTTTGTATTCTTGTTTGTGATTACTTGATTTTGAGTTGTTTTAAAATTTCATTTAGTTTTATTGTAGGATCTGTCATTGGTTGAAGATGTTATATTATAATTCTTCTTACACTCTTACTTGGGTTCTTGATGCACTGTGTATGCATTTTGATTGCTTGTTAGGGACAATATAGTAAAATACTAGAATTTTTTCACCAAGAAAACTAATGCTGTGCCAACCACCATTAGTTTAATTTAATCAGTGTCCCCCACCCAAAAGCATAGACATAGTGGGAGCTTTTATATTTTTTGAATCTCATTATTTTCAAACTAATTTGATCTGGAAGATGGTGATACTCTCTTAATAGATTAGTGAATGGGCTCAAACTATTAAAGTAATGTGAATGGAGAGTGAGATTCTTACTATAGTTTGTTCTGTCATAGTCTCTATCCTTTTGGTTAAATCTGTATGATTCCCTGAAGCAGAAATCTTTTCTGAGACTAAACCCGGATGAAAAAAGTAACCATCATATGTTCAGTGAGTAGTGAGCCAATGTGGGAGTTAAGAGTTGAATTTGTAGTGTTGTGATGCTTGTTTTAATTTTTTTCTATGGGATTCTTGTTTTTGTTACAAGAATAATGATATGGTAAAATGTTTTTCTTATGAATTAGAGGTTCTAGTTTGTTGGATTAACTTATCTGTACCTTTTATATGCAGAATATACACCAGAGAACCCCAAGATAGTGACAAAATGTTCTCACCATTTCCACCTTGGTTGTATTTATGAGTGGATGGAGAGAAGTGAAAACTGCCCAGTCTGTGGCAAGGTAACCTGTTTTACTTTCATGTCATGTCTGAGCTTGGTTGTAATATTCATTGTAGTGATTTGTTTTGTTTCAATATTTTGAGATTTGGATGCATGATCTGCGTATTGCCCTAAAAATTTAGTGACATTCTTCTCTCTACTACCAAATGTTTTTGTTTTCTCATAGGAGTAAAGACCGGATTAGGTAGTTTCCTTGTTATATCAAATTATGTCAACTGTAAATTGCATGTTATTGCTTTGTTTGAAATGCTTCATTAGGAGTTGTGAAATTACCTGCCTCCCTTTCCAGGCTTTCTTTGAAAATTCTGCCTCAAAGTGGGAACTTATTACTTAAATTGAATCAACTGGCATTCTTTTTCTTTTATGCAAGTAAAAACATTGACAAAACTATTGGCTATTTTCTTATTACTAGTTATTTTCTCATGAAGTAAAGTTGATCACTCTGTTAATTTCTTTGTCAAGTGTGGTATTATACATTGAAATCAAATTATTAAAGGATAATTGGGCTAAGTATGACTAATACACTGCCAAACAATTGCTTCACCCATGCTGATGTTGAAGCAGATAGTTGTTGTGATTTTGTTTATTCATAGGTTTTATGGTACTGTTAGAAGAGAAATAGAAATAGTACTGTGTATGAGATGCATGTATATATACATGTTCTTTGGTGACATGATGGAAACAAGTTCCATCATCTTAATTTGATTCATTCTTGCTCATTCCCAAGTGGTGCAAAGCTGGTGCCTTTGGAGTTGCATCAATAGCTTAATGCCTTTTTTTATAAACCTAGGGGGCCTTAAGAAAGTTGAAAATAGTTCAGAAAGATTCATTCACATGCCCTTGCTTTTGGTTTTTATGAACTCAAGTTTGGGTGGTCGGCCGAAACAATAGACTCGCAAAATGCCTTTGTCTTTAAACTCCCAGGCCCAATCAAGTGCTTTCTCTGTGGTGAATACTGGATTGTCAATATTATCATAGTTTATTGTTGATCTTTGGGTGGGTCGGCTGAAACAATAGACTTGCAAAATGCCTTTGTCTTTAAACTCCCAGGCCCAATCAAGTGCTTTCTCAGTGGTGATACTGGTTGTCAATATTATCATAGTTTATGTGTGATCTTTTTGACGACAGAACCACCATCTAATTCTCTAGCTGTTTGCTAGAACAATGGATTGAAGATTTTTGCCACTGCCAATTTTTTCCAAATTGTTATAGATCACAACTAAAAGTCTTTTGAATAACTTCCCCATTAATGAACATTGCATACATGTTGAAGAGTGAGTGACAGTTAAAAAGTCTTTGATTAGAAGGAAAGGTGGGTGAGTATACATATTTGTATCTTTTCTTTGATTATTTTGACTTACCATTCATTTGGATTGCTTCTATAGGTGATGGCATTCGATGAAACGACTTGATCCTCTCAAGGTTTATGTCGTGGATGGAAACAGCAATGACTGGAGAAAGAATGAAAACCAAAAGAGATGTGTAAAGCCCTTTGTGAATACCCCAATTAACGTGTTTGTCACCTGCCGTAAATATGAAGAGAAAATTGTTCTTGGATCAAATTATCATGAGTATATTTTCTCAAAATGTTATTTTTGAAATCTTTTCATGGTTACTGAAAATCGGCTATAGTTTTCCCAAAAAAATAACATTACATGGAATGGAAGTTAAGTGTGGTTGAATGAAGAGAAAACATGACTTGAGTTGTTGTGTATTTTCTTTTATCTGTCATTTTACCTCTGTTTTCTTTCTATGTAATTGTCATCTGTTATGGCTCTTTCATAGTGAAAGCAATTCATTTGGTTTTGAGCCTCTATTCTGCAGATGTCTTGGTGGTAAACAACCAAACACAAAAATTGTGTGTGTCAGATATAAAATGAGGTACTGGGTATGGTTATGGCACTATTTGTTAGTTTTATCATGAATCATGGAAAAGTAGAGAATGATGTGCATGTCTTGAGCAGCAAGTGCCATTTTCTTAATACGCTTTTCCCTATTGAGTACATAAACGAAGATAGATAGATTTGATCTTTGATACCCATTAATTGGGTGTGATCAGCTCTTTTATAGCGCTGAGCCTCATTCTTATGTTTAGTGTGTGGTCTAATTTTTTGTCAATGGAGTTCTGATATGTCCACAACATATAAGAATCTTTCATCCTTCATTATACCACTAAAGTAAACGCATTCGTAATAGTTTTTTTTTCTAAAACCTTATTTCTGGATGGTTGTAGCTATCTTTAAGATCAATGAAATCTGTCGCAAACGTGTACAATTAGATTCTAATCATCAAACTTAACTTTGTTTATATTTCAAGTATCTGAAAAAAATATGGCATGGTAGAGATTATGAACATAGATGTCAACAAGCACACACAAGTAACAAAGCAGCAGAATCTTATTCAAGGTTAAAATTGAAAGCATATTTATGTAAGGATTTTCAGTTAGCCGCAGCTTGAAAAGCACTCAGAAAAACCTCAGGAGGCTGGCCACCACTCAGCTCATGCTTCCCGTTAATCTGCCAAAACAATTATCTTAGAGCATGAAACTAAAGTTGTACTTAACCTCAAAACTTGAAATTCGTAAATGTGAACTAACCACATAATGTGGAACTCCTGTAATTCGGGACGAGTATTCTCGAGCTCCTCCTGACCTTCATTGGATCAGTTCGTTATTAGGATCGATAAAAACTTTTACTCCTGAAATTTCCTTAAAAGAATTGGAATAGAAAAGGAAGTTTTAGGGTTCAAAGTTTACGTTCTCTCCTCTTGTATGCATCTAAAGAAGCATGATGGGGAAAATTGCACAAATCTTCTCTTATTGCTCATATCTTTTTAGAAAGCACCTCAAAATATTATAAAAAAGTTTAATTATAAGTTTCTTCCATGTCTTTTTAACAACTGATGATTATAACATAATTGAATCAATAGAGAAATACCTCCTTCAATCCTATTGGATCTTCAAGAAACTCTGCTGCCCCCTCTACACCCACTTTCTTAGCAGATTCAACAAGAAATTCCCTGCATCCAATTACAACTTTTAGTAGCTGTCTTTGTGGAATGTGTGAATCGGAAGACAATCAACTTTACGACTCTGTTCCAACGCAAATATTAAAGAAAAAGCTGTCCCATTGCATTGGTTAGTTCTCTCTCATTCTCCCTGTTGATAGCCTAACGGTTGAATTGTTGGTACAACCATTATTCAAAGGGCATGAACACGTGTTGCCATGTCAGCCAGGTTAGCTATAACAGCAGGCAAAAAAAATAATTTATATCAATTTATCTTAGGCCATTTTAGACAGAAACTAAGATCTCTTTATCCAAGTGCGAACATGTGGCCACTGGGCTAAAAATCCATTGGCTTGATAGAAGACCTAATACAGTGTCATTTCAACTGATTATCAAAAATATCAAACTGTCCAAGAAATATCCAAGGCAGAATGGTCATCAAAAACATGTGTTTTGCCTCTTCAAGTGCAAAACAAAAGTTGATCAACCCTCCCATAAACCTTTTGATTACTGACACTCTCCTAGGAGTTTTGATGATTACTCACCATTGGAAGTTTAATACTTAATAGAGTAGCAAGACATAAACATGAATATCTCAGTGAAATGCTACAACATGGTATCGACTATCGAGTAATTCTTTATTTTATTAAAGGCAGGTAATGTGTGCATGAAGCTAAAGTTAAAACTGATTCTCAGTTCATTTGAGATCCTTCAAGGATTGCAATTCATCTGATGTGCACTGCATAAATGTTGGAAGTCTAAGAACCAAACCGAAAGGAAAAAGTTTTGGGCCTGGCAAAACAATGGAACTAGAAGAATCTTGCACGGCAGAAATAAAAATATAATAATAATATAATAAAGAAATTGTATCTAAATTAATGATATTAATTCCTTGGAGATATGGAAACCAACAATTCAAAAAAGTATACACATACCTGTCACCAATGTATTTACCCTGTGTGAAGTAGCAAGGCACAGTTCCTCCACAAGTTATGTTGCTTATCAAGATCCTGTTGCCCAGCAAAATATATAAGCTGTGGCATCAAGGGTACTTCCCGTGCATACAAAGACAATGTTATTGATATTTCTATCAGAACAGCTCATTCAAGCTCCTATCTTTCATAAAGCAGTTCGTGGAAGGCAGAATCCTTTTTTCAAACTTACGTGAGTCCAGACATGTGTATTCCAACCCCAGACCCCTAAAAATCTGCAATTTTTGGAGCAGTTATAGTACACAGACCATCCAAGTGAAAGGCAATTCAAACAAAAACATGTCTACAAATACAAATGGCTCTAAGAAAGTAAACTCAGTCATTCGAGCTATGATCCCTTGAGCGAGCTCCAAACTTATTCTCATAATAGCTTTTCTTATCAACACCTTTTCGGGGCAGCAGGATTGAGAAAAAAAGGGTGCCATTTAATCTGCAAATTTGGTCCCCCGAATAAATTAGAGCAAAACATTAAAGGTTGACTGTTTTTTGTGTGCGTAGAGAGAGGGAATTAGAGATGGAACCTCAAAATCATATTGACCTTAGCTGTAGCTTAGCCTTGTCCAGATTTCTTTTTCCTACAAAGCACACGGGCATACAGTGTTGAACTGACATCAATTAAAATCTTCTTCCCATTGCTGGTACTAGCTGACTGAGCCATAATTCTTTCGTATCTGCGGTATTTCTAGCATATAGGCGGTAATATCAGGTGCAAACTCGAAAGATCTAGAATAGTCTATCTTCAATTTATTTCAAAGTACCAATGTGACAATGGCTAAACAAATTTATCAGCCAAACAGCATGAAAATAGAGAAAGATCCTTCAATCGTGTATCCAGTGCGAATATATTGTGACACAATTCATGACTAATTCAGAAAGATAGAAACTAATGAAGACCTATGCACCAGAAAACCAAAAATGAAGACTTGTATAATCAACCTCTGTTGAGGCGGCGTCACAAATTCCACCCATTTAGCTCTAGTGAAGATTATATCTAATTGTCAAAGAACGACATACCGAAACCTTTGCAAGATTCTCACAAAACAATCCTTGCCCTTTCTTTATATTGAAATTAGAGTAGACAACAAAATAAAGAAGATAAACTGGAATTTATCAACCATATATCATAACAATACAATTTGAAGAAATGAATAATAAAAAACTAACCCACCTCAATCAAGAGTTGTCATACAAAGTCACCAAATTTCCCACTTCACCAAGTAATAGAAATGAAAAAATCTCAAAAGGGGTTGTTTATTTCATGAGGTTTGAGAAACAAAGAAACACAAAAAGGCTTGAAAAATGAATAACAGTGAAGAGCAGAACTAATGAAACATATAAACAAAACAATAGAGATGAATTAGATAGTGAAATTAAGGCTTGTTTTGCCAAAAAAAAAAAAAAAAAAGAGGTTACCGGAAGTCAGTAGAGACCTTGTGCTTTATAGGCTACTAAAATTAAAACTCATAGCCAGTTTTATACGGATTTAGATATTTGGATAGGAAGAAGTTGGTGAAAATGGAAAGCTCGACGGTTGACGATTTGACTTTTTCTGCCACCTACCACCTCAATTTATCAAGAAGATAAGAATATAAATATACAAGAATGTGCATGGTGTGGGCATTTATTTACAGGACGTAAGCTTTTACCTGGAAATTCTTTGACCACACTGTTATTCAATTATAATCAGAGTAATGTTATGATTCAATAATAAAATGTGTGCTAATCAAATACTAACATTAAAAATTTAAAATTATTTTTAGAAAGAATTTTAATTAAATATAATTAGATTAGTATCCATTAATTAATGCATATAATTTTATTCTTAAAATAGGACGAAGAAAAGTTTCCACAGTTTGGCCAAATGACAAGTTCCCATCCAAAAGATTTCAAAACGACAGTTTCTCACCCATTCATCCAATTTTTCCGTTATTTTCAACTGCAGAAGAGGAGAATAATAATTCAGGGTATTTTAATTTTTTATTTTCTTTTAAATTATTAAAAAATTTCAAAAATTATATAAAATAAATAGAAATTTTGAAAATTAAAAAATTGTCGGGCAATTGCTGTTGGCGGTTCTCAGAACCGTCGACGACGGCTAGTCTACTGCTACCGCCGGCACTGTTGGGTAGATCTCAGGTCAATTTATCCAATGGTACAAATAGAGGAGCCATTGTTGACAGCACTTGGCTGGAAAAGTGGTAAACGTTTCTCGCTTTTTTGGGTCAAACGCCGTCGACGACGGCTTCAACACAATCAACAATCAATCACACCATCCGCTTTTCCCTTCATCCGAATCATGGTCTTGCCCTCACGGATCCGCCTCAACGTCGGTGGTTGTTGAGATATTGCATAAACGTGTTCCAATCTTTCCTTTTTTGTGTCTCGAATCGACTGAAGGAGGGTAAAACTAGCGGCGGAGAAGGAAAGAAGACTGGAAGTAAAGATAAAACTAAATGGTGGTGCTGGTGCTGGTACTGGTTTTGACTACGAGAAGAGGTGGTTGTAGAGGAGTAGCAAGAGGAGGCGGCGGCGACAGCGACAGCTACAGCGGCTGACCTTTTTTTTTTTTTTTTTTTCTGTTTTCTGATTTTGTATAAAGATCAAATTAGGAGTGAATTCTGACAGAAAAAACTTGAAAGAAAGGAGAGGTATTTGGGGAGAATTTGGGAAGAGGGAGAGTGGGGAGAGATAGAGAGATGCAGATGGCGAATGAGTGACATATATGAAGATATGAAGGAGGGGAGGCAACTGGAGATGAAGAGGAAAGGTATAATTGAATGGAAAGAAACGAAGGAGACCGGTTTTTGAGAGTGTGGAACAGATGCTGAAGTGGGGTTTTGTTTTTCAACTTTATATAAGGGTGAATTGACGTAATTTCCCTTTAATTGTTTTATGAAATTACTGTTATATCCTTCTGTTGTTAAAAATAACAGAAAAAATAGATGGATGGGTGGAAAACTGTCGTTTTGAAATCTTTTGGGTGGGAACTTGTGATTAGGCCAAACCTTGGGTGGGAACTTGCTGTTCGCCCTAAAAATTAGTAAAGATAAAATCTTTTACCTCCAAAAATACAATTAAAAAATTTTCAGAAATTAGGAAATGGGTAGTTGATATGGGGGGTAATTTGGTCTAGAAAACTCGAGTGGACGGACTAGAAGAACCTGAATGCATTGGCCGCAGACATCGGGGCAACTATATCCACATGAAACCCGGCCCAAAAGCTCCCACCTTCACGGAACAACGCACAAACCATCACCATTTATCACTATCAAAATACGTACTTTCTCACGTTCTTTCCTCTTACTCTACAAATTAAAAATATCTCACCTTTCCTTTCCTTTCTTTTTTTCTTTCTTTCTTTATTCCTTTCCTTTCCTTGCCGTACATTTCACTTCTAACTTCAGGTACGATCTTTCTTTTACCAAAAACAATCTAATCTTTAGTGTAAGCTCTATCAAATCGTTATATGGTTTGGTGTTTTATTTTAGTGTTACACGGGATTGATAGATTGATAGCAAGACATAAAACATGAAATATCTCAGTGAAATGCTACAACATGGTATCGACTATCAGTAATTCTTATTTTATTAAAGGCAGGTAATGTGTGCATGAAGCTAAAGTTAAAACTGATTCTCAGTCATTTGAGATCTTCAAGGATGCAATTCATCTGATGTGCACTGCATAAATGTTGGAATGTCTAAGAACCAAACCGAATGGAAAAAGTTTTGGGCCTGGCAAAACAATGGAACTAGAAGAATATCTGCACGGCAGAAATAAAAAATAATAATAATAATAATAAAGAAATTGTATCTAAATTATATGATATTAATTCCTTGGAGATATGGAAACCAACAATTCAAAAAAGTATACACATACCTGTCACCAATGTATTTACCCTGTGTGAAGTAGCCAAGGCACAGTCCTCCACAAGTTATGTTGCTTATCAAGATCCTGTTGCCCAGCAAAATATATAAGCCTGGGGCTATCAAGGGTACTTCCCCTGTGCATATCAAAGACAATGTTATTGATATTTCATCAGAACAGCCATTCAAAGCTTCCTATCTTTCATAAAGCAGTTCGTGGAAGGCAGAATCCTTTTCAAACTTACGTGAGTCCAGACATGTTGTATTCCAACCCAGACCCCTAAAAATCTGCAATTTTTGGGCAGTTATAGTACACAGACCATCCAAGTGAAAGGCAATTCAAACAAAAACATGTCTACAAATACAAATGGCTCTAAGAAAGTAAACCTCAGTCATTCGAGCTATGATCCCTTGAGCTCGAGCTCCAAACTTATTCTCATAATAGCTTTTCTTATCAACACCTTCCTTCGGGGCAGCAGGATTGAGAAAAAAAGGGTGCCATTTAATCTGCAAATTTGGTCCCAGAATAAATTAGAGCAAAACATTAAAGGTTGACTGTTTTTTGTGTGCGTATGAGAGAGGGAATTAGAGATGGAACCTCAAAATCATATTGACCTTAGCTGTAGTATAGCCTTGTCCAGATTTCTTTTTCCTACAAAGCACACACGGGCATACGTGTCTGAACTGACATCAATTTTAATAATCTCTTTCCCATTGCTGTTACTGCTGACTGAGCCATAATCTTCCGTATCTGCGGTATTCTAGCATATAGGCGGTAATATCAGGTGCAAACTCGAAAGATCTAGAATAGTCTATCTTCAATTATATTTCTAAAGTACCAATGTGACAATGGCTAAACAAATTATCAGCAAACAGCATGAAAATAGAGAAAGATCCTCTTCAATCGTGTATCCAGTGCGAATATATTGTGACACAATTCATGACTAATTCAGAAAGATAGAAACTAATGAAGACCTATGCACCAGAAACACAAAAATGAAGACTTGTATAATTCAATCCTCTGTTGAGGCCGGTCATCAAATTCCACCCATTTAGCTCTAGTGAAGATTATATCTAATTGTCAAAGAATCGACATACCGAAGCCTTTGCAAGATTCTCACAAAACAATCCTGCCCTTTCTTTATATTGAAAATTAGAGTAGACAACAAAATAAAGAAGATAAACTGGATATTTATCAACCATATATCTATACAATACAATTTGAAGAAATGAATATATAAAAAACTAACCCACCTCAATCAAGAGTTGTCATCAACCAAAGTCACCAAATTTCCCACTTCAACCAAGTAATAGAAATGAAAAAATCTCAAAAGGGGTTGTTTTATTTCATGAGGGTGAAGAACAAAGAAACACAAAAAGGCTTGAAAAATGAATAACAGTGAAGAGCAGAAACTAATGAAACATTAAACAAAACAATAGAGATGAATTAGATAGTGAAATTAAGGCTGTTTTGCCAAAAAAAAAAAAGGTTACTGGAAGTCAGTAGAGACCTTGTGCTTATAGAGCTATAAAATTAAAACTCATAGCCAGTTTTATACGGATTTAGATATTTGTATAGGAAGAAGTTGTGATGAAATGGAAAGCTCGACGGTTGACGATTGACTTTTTCTGCCACCTACCACCTCAATTTATCAAGAGATAAGAATATAAATATACAAGAATGTGCATGGTGTGGGCATTTATTTACAGACGTAAGCTTTTACCTGGAAATTCTTATGACCCAATGTTATTCAATTATAATCAGAGTAATGTTATGATTCACTAATAAAATGTGTGCTAATCAAATACTAAATTAAAAAATTAAAATTATTTTTAGAAAGAATTTTAAATTTTAATATTAATAATTAGATTAGTATCCATTAATTAATGCATATAATTTTATTCTTAAAATTAGGACCGAAGAAAAGTTTCCACAGTTTGGCCAAATGACAAGTTCCCATCCAAAAGATTTCAAAACGACAGTTTCTCACCCATTCATCCCATTTTTCGTATTTTTCAACTGCAGAAGGAGAGAATAATAAATTCAGTTTATGTTAATTGAACCACCAATCTAATTCTCTAGCTGCTTTGCTAGAACAATGGATTGAAGATTTTTGCCACTGCCAATTTTTTCCAAATTGTTATAAGATCACAACTAAAAGTCTTTTGAATAACTTCCCCATTAATGAACATTGCATACATGTTTGAAGAGTGAGTGACAGTTAAAAAGCTCATTTGATTAGAAGGAAAGGTGGAGTGAGTATACATATTTTGTATCTTTTTCTTTGATTATTTTGACTTACCATTCATTTGGATTGCTTCTATAGGTGATGGCATTCGATGAAACGACTTGATCCTCTCAAGGTTTATGTCGTGGATGGAAACAGCAATGACTGGAGAAAGAATGAAAACCAAAAGAGATGTGTAAAGCCCTTTGTGAATACCCCAATTAACGTGTTTGTCACCTGCCGTAAATATGAAGAGAAACTTGTTCTTTAGATCAAATTATCATGAGTATATTTTCTCAAAATGTTATTTTTGAAATCTTTTCATGGTTACTGAAAATCTGGCTATAGTTTTCCCAAAAAAATAACATTATACATGGAATGGAAGTTAAGTGTGGTTGAATGAAGAGAAAACATGACTTGAGTTGTGGTGTATTTTCTTTTTATCTGTCATTTTACCTCTGTTCTTCTCTTCTATGTAATTGTCATCTGTTATGGCTCTTTCATAGATGAATGCAATTCATTTGGTTTTGAGCCTCCATTCTGCAGATGTCTTGGTGGTAAACAACTAAACACAAAGAATTGTGTGTCAGATATAAAATGAGGCTACTGGGTATTGGTTATGGCACTATTTGTTAGTTTTATCATGAATCATGGAAAAGTAGAGAATGTCTTGTGCAGCAAGTGCCATTTTCTTAATACGCTTTTCCCTATTGAGTACATAAACGAAGATAGATAAGATTTGATCTTTGATACCCATTAATTGGGTGTGATCAGCTCTTTTATAGCGCTGAGCCTCATTCTTATGTTATAGTGTGTGGTCTATAATTTTTTGTCAATGGAGTTCTGATATGTTCCACAACATATAAGAATCTTTCATCCTTCATTATACCACTAAAGTAAACGCATTTCTGTAATAGTTTTTCTTTTCTAAAACCTTATTTCTGGATGGTTGTAGCTATCTTTAAGATCAATGAAATCTGTCGCAAACGTGTACAATATTAGATTCTAATCATCAAACTTCAACTTTGTTTACATTATTTCAAGTATCTGAAAACATATGGCATGGTAAGAGATTATGAACATAGATGTCAACAAGCACACAAGTAACAAAGCAGCAGAATCTTTATTCAAGGTTAAAATTAGAAAGCATATTTATGTAAGGATTTTCAGTTAGCCGCAGCTTGAAAAGCACTCAGAAAAACCTCAGGAGGCTGGCCACCACTCAGCTCATGCTTCCCGTTAATCTGCCAAAACAAATTATCTTAGAGCATGAAACTATAAGTGTGTACTTAACCTCAGAACTTGAAATTCGTAAATGTGAACTAACCACATAATGTGGAACTCCTGTAATTCGGGACGAGTATTTCTCGAGCTCCTCCTTGACCTTCATTGGATCAGTTCAGTTATTAGGATCCGATAAAAACTTTTACTCCTGAAATTTCCTTAAAAGAATTGGAATAGAAAAGGAAGTTTTAGGGTTCTAAGTTTACGTTCTCTCCTCTTGTATGCATCTAAAGAAGCATGATGGGGAAAATTGCACAAATCCTTCTCTTATTGCTCATATCTTTTTAGAAAGAACCTCAAAATATTATAAAAAAGTTTAATTATAAGTTTCTTCCATGTCTTTTTAACAACTGATGATTATAACATAATTGAATCAATAGAGAAAATACCTCCTTCAATCCATTATTGGGATCTTCAAGAAACTCTGCTGCCCCTTCTACACCCACTTTCTTAGCAGATTCAACAAGAAATTCCCTGCATCCAATTACAACTTTTAGTAGCCTGTCTTTGTGGAATGTGGTGAATCGGACAGACAATCAACTTTACGACTCTGTTCCAACTCAAATATATTAAAGAAAAAGCCTGTCCCATTGCATTGGTTAGTTCTCTCTCATTCTCCCTGTTGATAGCCTAACGGTTGATATTGTTGGTACAACCATTATTCAAAAGGGCATAGAACACGTGTTGCCATGTCAGCCAGGTTAGCTATAACAGCAGGCAAAAAGAATAATTTTATATCAATTTTATCTTAGGCCATTTTGAGACAGAAACTAAGATCTCTTTATCCAAGTGCGAACATGTGGCCACTGGGCTAAAAATCCATTGGCTTGATAGAAGACCTAATACAGTGTCATTTTCAACTTGATTATCAAAATTATCAAACTGTCCAAGAAATATCCAAGGCAGAATGGTCATCAAAAACATGTGTTTTGCCTCTTCAAGTGCAAAACAAAAGTTGATCAACCCTCCCATAAACCTTTTGATTACTGACACTCTCCTAGGAGTTTTGATGATTACTCACCATTGGAAGTTTAATACTTCAATAGATTGATAGCAAGACATAAAACATGCAAATATCTCAGTGAAATGCTACAACATGGTATCGACTATCGAGTAATTCTTTATTTTATTAAAGGCAGGTAATGTGTGCATGAAGCTAAAGTTAAAACTGATTCTCAGTTCATTTGAGATCCTTCAAGGATTGCAATTCATCTGATGTGCACTGCATAAATGTTGGAATGTCTAAGAACCAAACCGAATGGAAAAAGTTTTGGGCCTGGCAAAACAATGGAACTAGAAGAATCTTGCACGGCAGAAATAAAAAATAATAATAATAATAATAATAAAGAAATTGTATCTAAATTATATGATATTAATTCCTTGGAGATATGGAAACCAACAATTCAAAAAAGTATACACATACCTGTCACCAATGTATTTACCCTGTGTGAAGTAGCCAAGGCACAGTTCCTCCACAAGTTTATGTTGCTTATCAAGATCCTGTTGCCCAGCAAAATATATAAGCCTGTGGCTATCAAGGGTACTTCCCCTGTGCATATCAAAGACAATGTTATTGATATTTCTATCAGAACAGCTCATTCAAAGCTTCCTATCTTTCATAAAGCAGTTCGTGGAAGGCAGAATCCTTTTTTCAAACTTACGTGAGTCCAGACATGTTGTATTCCAACCCAAGACCCCTAAAAATCTGCAATTTTTGGAGCAGTTATAGTACACAGACCATCCAAGTGAAAGGCAATTCAAACAAAAACATGTCTACAAATACAAATGGCTCTAAGAAAGTAAACCTCAGTCATTCGAGCTATGATCCCTTGAGCTCGAGCTCCAAACTTATTCTCATAATAGCTTTTCTTATCAACACCTTCCTTCGGGGCAGCAGGATTGAGAAAAAAAGGGTGCCATTTAATCTGCAAATTTGGTCCCAGAATAAATTAGAGCAAAACATTAAAGGTTGACTGTTTTTTGTGTGCGTATGAGAGAGGGAATTAGAGATGGAACCTCAAAATCATATTGATCCTTAGCTGTAGCTATAGCCTTGTCCAGATTTCTTTTTCCTACAAAGCACCACGGGCATACAGTGTCTGAACTGACATCAATTTTAATAATCTTCTTCCCATTGCTGTTACTGGCTGACTGAGCCATAATTCTTCCGTATCTGCGGTATTTCTAGCATATAGGCGGTAATATCAGGTGCAAACTCGAAAGATCTAGAATAGTCTATCTTCAATTATATTTCTAAAGTACCAATGTGACAATGGCTAAACAAATTTATCAGCCAAACAGCATGAAAATAGAGAAAGATCCTCTTCAATCGTGTATCCAGTGCGAATATATTGTGACACAATTCATGACTAATTCAGAAAGATAGAAACTAATGAAGACCTATGCACCAGAAACACAAAACATGAAGACTTGTATAATTCAATCCTCTGTTAAGGCCGGTCATCAAATTCTACCCATTTAGCTCTAGTGAAGATTATATCTAATTGTCAAAGAATCGACATACCGAAGCCTTTGCAAGATTCTCACCAAACAATCCTTGCCCTTTCTTTATATTGAAAATTAGAGTAGACAACAAAATAAAGAAGATAAACTTGGATATTTATCAACCATATATCTATACAATACAATTTGAAGCAATGAATATAATAAAAAACTAACCCCACCTCAATCAAGAGTTGTCATCAACCAAAGTCACCAAATTTCCCACTTCAACCAAGTAATAGAAATGAAAAAATCTCAAAAGGGGTTGTTTTATTTCATGAGGTTTGAGAAACAAAGAAACACAAAAAGGCTTGAAAAATGAATAACAGTGAAGAGCAGAAACTAATGAAACATATAAACAAAACAATAGAGATGAATTAGATAGTGAAATTAAGGCTTGTTTTGCCAAAAAAAAAAAAAAAAAGAGGTTACCTGGAAGTCAGTAGAGACCTTGTGCTTTATAGAGCTATAAAATTAAAACTCATAGCCAGTTTTATACGGATTTAGATATTTGTATAGGAAGAAGTTGGTGAAAATGGAAAGCTCGACGGTTGACGATTTGACTTTTTCTGCCACCTACCACCTCAATTTATCAAGAAGATAAGAATATAAATATACAAGAATGTGCATGGTGTGGGCATTTATTTACGGACGTAAGCTTTTACCTGGAAATTCTTATGACCCACATGTTATTCAATTAAAATTAGGAGCGAAGGAAAAGTTTCCACTCTAAGGTTTGGCCAAATGACAAGTTCCCATCCAAAAGGTTTCAAAACGATAGTTTCTCACCCATTCATCCAATTTTTCCGTTATTTTTAACTGCAGAAGGAGAGAATAGTAAATTCAGTTTATTTTTATTTTTTATTTTCTTTTAAATTATTAAAAAATTTCAAAAATTATATAAAATAAATAGAAATTTTGAAAATTAAAAAATTGTCGGGCAATTGCTGCTTCGGTCATCAGAACCGTCGACGGCGGCTAGTCTACTGCCACCGCCGGCACTGTTGGGTAGATCTCAGGTTGATTTATCCAATGGTACAAATAGAGGAGCCATTACTGACAGCACTTGGCCGGAAAAGTGGTAAACGTTTCTCGCTTTTTTGGGTCAAACGCCGTCGACGACGGCTTCAACACAATCAACAATCAATCACACCACCCGCTTTTCCCTTCGTCCGAATCATGGCCATGCCCTCACGGATCCGCCTCAATGCCGGTGGTTGTTGAGATATTGCATAAACATGTTCCAATCTTTCCCTTTTTGTGTCCCGTATCGACTGAATGAGGGTAAAACTAGCGGCGGAGAAGGAAAGAAGATAGAAGTAAAGATAAAACTGAATGGTGGTGGTGCTGGTACTGGTTCTGACCACGAGAAGAGGTGGTTGTAGAGGAGTAGCAAGAGGAGGCCGCGGCGGCAGCTACAGCTACAGTGGCTGACTTTTTTTTTTTTTTTTTCCTGTGTTTCTGATTCTGTATAAAGATCAAATTAGGAGAGAATTCTGATGGAAAAAAACTTGAAAGAAATGAGAGGTATTTCGGGAGAATTTAAGAAGAGGGAGATGGGGGGAGAGATGGAGAGATGCAGATGGAGAATGAGTGATATATATGAAGATATGAAAGAGGGGAGGCAACTGGAGATGAAGAAGAAAGGTATAATTGAGTGGAAAGAAACGAAGGAGTCCAGTTTTTGAGAGTGTGGATGAGATGCTGAAGTGGGCTGGTTTGTATAGTTGGGAGAAAGGAGAAAAAAGAATTAGGGATTTTGGATTTCAACTTTGTATAAGAGTGAATTGACATAATTGCCCTATAATTGCTTATGAAATTACTGTTATATCCTTTTGTTGTTAAAAATAACAGAAAAAATAGATGGATGGGTGGGAAATTGCCGTTTTGAAACCTTTTGGGTGGGAAGTTGTCATGAGGCAAAACCTTGGGTGGGAACTTGTCGTTCGCCCTAAAAATGAGTAAAGATAAAGTCTTTTACCTCCAGAAATAGAATTAAAAAATTTTCAGAAATTAAGAAATGGGTGGTTGATATGAGGGGTAATTTGGTCTAGAAAATTCGAGTGAACGGACTAGAAGAACCTGAATGCATTGGCCGCAGACATCGGGGCAACTATATCCACATGAAAGCCGGCCCAAAAGCTCCCACCTTCACGGAACAACGCACAAACCATCACCATTTATGACTATCAAAATACGTACTTTCTCACGTTCTTTCTTCTTACTCAACAAATTAAAAATATCTCACCTTTCCTTTCCTTTCTTTTTTCTTTCTTTCTTTATTCCTTTCCTTTCCTTGCTGCGCATTTCACTTCTAACTTCAGGTACGATCTTTCTTTTACAAAAAACAATCTAATCTTTAGTGTAAGCTCAATCAAATCGTTATATGGTTTGGTGTTTTATTTTAGTGTTACACGGGATTGAGTATTTTGCGGTGAAAATCTTCTTCTACCTGTTTCTTTTTTCTTCCTTTACTTTCCAGGTACCAAACGAACATTGTTTCTCAGATTCTGAACCAAAATTGTGAATTTAACTGCAATTTGTTTTAAAGTCATCTCGATGGTGATATTTTAGTTTATACTAAACATGTTTTTGTTGAATGTAATTTGGTTTATGTTCTATCACTTACCCAGCAACCAAAGCGATAAAATAAAACGTTGACTTTAATTGTAATTTAGTTGTAACTTTGCTAGATAAGATAACCTTGTAAATCATGATTTAATTTGATCAGTGCTAATATGTTATTGTTTTCGTTGATGTCATTAGGTGTATATATTTGATTATCGATGGATATTAATGAAATTATTGGCGAATCTGCCCTTCCTGTGAATAATTTAACAACAAAGAGTGCTATATATGTGTGGGGATATAACCAGAGTGGACAAACAGGCAGAAGGGGGAGAGAGCGCCAACTGCGGATCCCAAAACAGCTCCCTCCCGAGCTCTTTGGCTGCCCTGCTGGTGCTAACTCCCGTTGGTTGGACATTGCATGTGGTCGTGAGCACACTGCTGCTGTGGCCTCAGATGGGTCTCTTTTCACTTGGGGTTTGTCCCTTAATGAATTTCTTTTAAGTGTTTTAAATTTTTAGTTAATCCATTGTTAAGAGTATGCATTTCTTTGTAGTTTATTTGTTTTGCATATTGAAATGTTTAATTGATAGTTTTAATTTCATCAAGGATGGGAAGTGGTTTTTAATGTTTGTCATTGAGTCGGCATGTGAAAATATTCCGCAGATCGGGTGTTTCTCACTTGTGTGTATGAACTCCTTAACTGTTATGTTTGTTTGGGCGCAAAGATATGTATTTGTTTGCATCGTTTGGTTCTTTGTTGTGATTGCACTGTTTTGTCCCTTTGACTCATGATGGTAATTGCTGTATTCTATTCCTGATGGAAATTGGTTTAACCTGTGATGGTAATATGTTATTACTGTAGCTATGGCCCCTGATGGATTGTTTATATAAAACTCGGGGTCTCTTCATGTTGTTTGATTATTTTGTTCTGATTGTGTGGTTTTTGCTATTTGTATCCTATCATTTATGGCTATAATTTTATCAATGATAATTTCTCTAGTCATTATCAATAACATAAAATTCTTGGTTGTAAGATTTGAGTGTATGATTATGAGGATTATAAGCAATTGAACTTTCTTTGTTTTATAAATGCATGAGTTGTGATAATAACAGTATTATCTTTTGGATGTTTATACTGACAATCAATCAAGTGATCAGGAATTGTATTCTTTAGTGCTGTTTTTTTCGCCATGAGCAAACCTCATATTTATGCATTTGACTAGGTGCTAATGAATTTGGTCAATTGGGAGATGGAACTGAGGAGAGCAAGAAACACCCACAGAAAGTAAATCAGTTGCAGACAGAGTTCGTGAAATCAGTATCTTGTGGAGCACATTGTACTGCTGCTATTGCAGAACCTCGTGATAATGATGGAACCATCTCAACAAGTAGACTTTGGGTTTGGGGACAAAATCAGGTAGTACATTTTTTTAGTATGAAATTATTAGTTTCTTTCTTTTTTTTAATTTGTGAACTCTGGTAGGTTGGCTCCAACTGCAATGACTAAGAAAATCTAGCCTTGATGCCAAGAATCTTTATCTTCTTTTATTTTTCTTCTTCTATTTCTCAGATAGCGGTTCACTAACATATAGACAGCCAATTTATTTTATCACCATATTCTGGTGTCATTTAGCCCAACCATTATGTCAACTTGTTTTTTTTTCCCTTTCCACGCACCCCAACCTCACCCTACTCTACGCGCAAACACAAACCAAATGGATTCCCATCCAAGGATGGTATAAGGAGAATCTGACCTTAGTGTTCTTGCTTACTATAAGAAATCGAACCAACTAAGCTATCCTCTAGAGGACCAACCATTATACAATCCTAATAACTAATTCCACACATTATTTTTGCCTGTAATTCACCTTATCTGCAATTGAGATCAACACCAAAACAATTGGTTTAGGTTTCATTAACTCGTTAGGATGGTTTAAAATCTGTTAGATTTCTATAAGACCAATCTTTCATTAAACTGAAAGCATTACACTGATATTGTATGGACTTCTTGTTGTTCTTATTCCACAAGCTTACACTACTAAATAGGAATCTAAATAAATCAAAACTTTGACTGAGATAAAGACCACCTATAAAAGATTGTCATGGCATCTAAACCAAAATTAACAATAATTGGCTGTTGCCAAGCCCAGTTGAAAAAAAACCATAGCAACTCAAATTACCAAAGCTCAAGAAATAGGAAACAGAACATAACTAACTGCTTCACAACTTGATGGACCTACTTGTATGACTGATATTTACTAGGAACAACTAATCAGAGCTCCAGTTAAGTGATATAATTAATATAAACAATGTTTCGTAATCTCCGTACTCTTGAATTTTGTTTTTTTATTGTGTTTCTTGTTCACAGCATCACATGGTAATTGATAGTTTATATTGTAATTGCTCATTTTCTTGTACTGTTTCTTGCAACAGGGATCAAACCTTCCTCGTTTATTCTGGGGGGCCTTTACGCCATACACGGTAAAGGATGGATATTCTGATTTGTTGTTTTAACAAATGCATTTTATGGATATGCCAACTTGAATGCTAGAAATTGAAGAAAGAGACTCAAGATAAAACATATTATGACCACTAAAATAAACTGTAATACTTCAGTGGGTTTTTATCTTTGAAAGTCATTTCGGTGATTCTGATTTTGTTGTTTCTCATGAGGGTGAGGAAAAGGAAAAGAATAAGGAAAAGGCTTAAACGTCTCCTTTTTTAGCGTTGTTTTGACACTAAATTTATTTTATCATTTTAATTGCAGTCCCCTAATATGATCTGGCAGTTTTTTTCTATTATTTATATGTACATTTAAATAGTTACTTTAATCTAACATAAGATTGGACATTCTTTTGTGATAGATTATCCGTCAAGTGTCCTGTGGGGCAGTTCATGTGGTGGCTTTATCGGAAGATGGCCTACTACAAGCTTGGGGTGAGTTTCCATTTAAATTCATAAACTGTCCTTGTAACAAAATTCTGAAGTAAAATCTGTAAGTTATGTTGTCATTGTGCTACAACCAGTTCTCAAAATATGTTTCTGATGACATCCATGACTTTGCATTGGTACTAGATAGCTCATATGATTAGGAAACTGAACTGAAGGAACTTAAGGATACTTATCAATTTCCTTCCGTCTATTAATCTTTATCTTTGTTGTTCTGATAAATCAGGCTACAATGAATATGGTCAACTTGGCAGGGGTTTTACTTGTGACGGATTACAGAGGCCTCGTGTAATAAATGCTTATGCAAAGTTCCTTGATGAAGCTCCTGAGATTGTGAAGATTACCCAAGTGTCATGCGGGGAGTACCACACAGCAGCTGTATCTGCAAATGGCGAGGTGTAAGTTACCTGAAGGACTTCTTACATGGAGATAAGTTCTACATTAGGAATGAGAATTGTGGTTATCCGCATGGCACTAGTAAATGTTTTTGAAGGTTTGGAAAAACCTTCTTATGGGTATCTCACTTGTAGTCGGGACGGGATGCAACAGATACAGAATGCATTTTGATGTGCAAGTTTCTGCCCCCTTAACTTGGAAATCCCAACTTCATTGCATAAATTAGAATTTGTGATGATGAGACCTTAAACACAATATCTTGTTAACAATTTTTTTTTTAATATCAATTTCTACAAAAGTTTTATCACTAATGATAATCTATTATCTATTTTTTACCTGGCAGCTATACTTGGGGCTTCGGAAATATGGGTCAACTTGGACACTGTTCCCTTCAGTCTCCGGATAAAGAGTTATTGCCAAGGCGAGTGGTTGCCCTTGATGGAATTTTTATAAAGGAGGTTGCATGTGGTGGTGTGCATACTTGTGCTCTAACTTCGAAGGGAGCTCTTTATGCTTGGGGTGGTGGTCAAGCTGGTCAGTTAGGACTTGGCCCCCAAACTGGGTCCTTTTCATTTATTCCTAATGAGTCTGAAACATACATCCGTAATATGCCGGTTTTAGTTGTACCAAATGGTGTGCAACTTGTTGCTTGTGGACATTGTCACACACTTATATCTACGAGGGATGGAAGAATTCATGGATGGGGTTACAATAGTTATGGACAGGCAGCTAATCAGAAATCTACATATGCTTGGTTTCCATCACCGCTTGATTGGTATGTTGTAGAGGAGTTATTTTTTAACCTTTGCAAAAGTTGTCAGCCCTTCATATTGATGGAAGTACTATAGTACAGGTGTGTTGGGGAAGTACGAAAACTAGCAGCTGGTGGTGGCCATTCTGCTGTGTTGACTGATGCCTGTTCCTTGAAAGAATTGTGCGAGTTTAGGCTTGCAGATAGCATAACTCTATCTAATGCTACTGAGATCAAGGATGTTGCATCTCGAACAGGATCAGATGCTTTAGCACGCCTTTGTGAAAGATTGAGGTATTGATGTCAGTATATTTCTTATGAGTTACTGCAATTATTTCATTTTGACTAGCACATTTTACTGATCAGTAGCATGGCCTTTCCTGTTAATGAAGGAAATATTATCAACTCAATGGAACATAATGTGGAAGCTTGAACTTATTGAAGCTAAGCTAAAGCTTTCAACAGTCTTGATTTATCTTCATTATATATAAACTTACGAAAAACTATTCTAAGAGTCCACTGGTTATAAGTGCCATGCATATGTGTGTCTGCATTACTTCCTATGGAGTTTATGGGCTCAACCCCGACAAACGCCACACCAACACAGCTCCCCTCCCCCTCCCCCTCGCCCCTCTCTGATGAAACGATGTCTCAACAAATTTTGTGTATCTACAGGGAGGAGTTGCTTGATGGTGCTGATTGCATTTGGGAAGATGATGACATCTGGAATGGGAATTACCAAAGGAACAACTGAACTTAACTTGATTTGAAGATCACTATGCTAATGTTTATTTCCTGTTCCCACTTTGTTGCACCTGGATTAGGACTGTAAATTAAGAACCATATTATTCAGATGATGAAGGATAATCCTTCATCAGTAATATCATTATGTCAGAATGTACCTACATTTGATCACTTTAATCAGGAACCTGGTTACATTGTATAAACAAAAACTACAGTATTCTGGTGACAAACTTGTACCAGTAACAATTTATTGAAACTTATACCAACTTTAGTTTTATGGACATTAACGTTTGTCATTAATTCAATCAGCCCTTGCACAATTTAGCTTTAGTATATTGAAACGCCAAGTTATGTATTGGCTATTTGCTACAGGTAGCTTAGTATCTCGACTTGGTTGGTGTGTATTACAACACAAAATGTTGGTGCAATCAACATGATCAGGTTCCAAAGTGAAAATAACTATCTAGTTTCTAGGTGCCTAAGTGAATGAAGAAACCCTCGCCCTTGTGTTATTTACTTACACTCTTAAATTAAGGATCTTTAATGAACAAATAATACTACACATACATCATTCTTATATAACATTATGTGGCAAGATATGATTGGGTGAAAGTTTAATTTTAATTTCAAATTAGTCAATCATATCTTGTCACATAATATTATATAAAAATGATGTACGTGTAGCATTACTCTTAATGAATTGATATGGCTATATTTTTTAGTGCACAGGTTGGAGCTACAGTATGGATGCACTGGTCATGGTTCCCTATTGTACTTATGTGCACACTCACATGCTTACTACTAAGCAATATGCAGTCTTACATTCTTAAAATAGCTAAAGTTTTCAAATTACATGTCATATGAAGTAGCTTCAGACAGTATAGCAGTAGGGGTTATACAAGGACATTACCCATAAATTCATTACTTAAAACGGAGTTGATATATGGCAGATGTTTATTTCATTATCTATTTGTTCAAAGGTCGAAGCATCCAAGGTGGTATAAGAGTGTTGATATTGGGCCTCTTTTGTACACTAGCGTCATCCATTGCATCTCTCAAAGCCTGGAAACTGCTCCTGCATCGTTCATCATCATCTTTGAGTAAGATCAATTGACAAACTATTACTACTAGTAAAAGAACCTGGTTATTCCTATTCTAAAGGTAGCAGCCATTGGCTGATGACTTTCGTACTTAATTGTAGATGCTACCTATTTAGATTACACTAACAAAACTGAGTTTTGTCATACAAGTATTCTTCTGCATGTGGGCAAGTTTTGGGCCTGGTAGCCATGTTTACAGGAAAAGAGAAATTCTCAAATGAACAGCATGCTAAACCATGCTTTCCAAACAGTATCCACTATCTAGTATGCTAACTACATGGTTACTTAAGCATGTATTTTCCTTTCTCTACCATAAATTTGTGAAGTGCGAGCGTGTGAGTGAGAGAGAGAGGGAAATAAAGTATACCCCATAGTTAAAGGGAGTGTTATGGGTGGAGGTGGTGATGGAAGCATGAAGGACGATGAGCTGTAGCCCAACTGGTTTTGCTGTTCCAATTGTACGCGTTCATTGAGTTCCTTCTCGTTTTGCTTGACCTAGAATTTTGCCTCGTAATAATTTGATAATGTTAGATGATTCAAATTAAAAAAGACACTGTCGCTTCATTGATATTTTCTAAAAGGAAGATACAACTACAATTTGTAATAAAATAGCTACTACCTTCTTGGCAAGCATGGTGTTTTGGTCCTGAAGGGCTCTTTCCTGTCACAAGCCTCTCAGTTAGTCACATACACCATATTAGAAGTGCATTATATATATACGGTAATAAATTAGCACAAATGTTCTGTTAGTTTAAGAGTATATGTATGCAGATAAAATACCAAAAAGGAGACTGAGAGAGAGATCTAAACTTCAATGGGAAAATACTAGTTCTAAAATATGTCTTTCTAGGGGTCTACTAGCTTTTTTTTTTTAGTGGTAATCAGGGTGTTCGGACCAATTTACGCACACCTCAATTAATCCTCAAAGGTATATTAAATATCTTATAAACTCAAAAGACTATGTAAATTATAATGTTATTGTGATAGATAATCTAAAATTTGAACTTAAGCATTCATGAAAAAGAGTAAACTTCCTTGACCGTCAGACCAATCGCCGGGATCTATTAGCATTTTGACCTCAAAAAATGAGAATGCCCTCAATGGAATACCCATTTGACAGTCAATAATAACCCCACTTAAATTGAACCACAAGGCATGGAAATGGATCTCACCTTCTTCTGCAAATCCGAGATGGATTCATTAATTAAGTGGTTCTGTATACATCAATTAAATTATAAGTGAGATGTCATATTATTGCAATAGAAAGTAATGAGACTTAAAACTTGAATGGCATTCTATGTATATGTCCCCACCTTCCTGGATCGTATGCGCTTCAGGCCAGTATCGATCTGCTGCTCCAAGTTTTGCAGCTCTCTGAGACTCAGTGCATCCAGGGCATCTCCCATGTAGTGACTACATAATCAAATGAGAAAATATCACATCATTCTGTCGATGCCTATCTATACGGTGCATTCCAGTCAAGAAGCAGACCAAATAAGTTTTCAAGGCTCAGGACCAAGAATCTGACTAGTTATCCAGACAACTATTCTTTGTAATGCATTTTCCGGGGACAAAAAAAAAAAAAAACCCTAAAGCTTATCTTTGAAGGGCCAGTATAAAACTGAAAATTTACTTAGAAGGCATCCTGTGCACGTTTTATAAGTAGGATTTCGAAAACACATAAAATTATTCTTCCTCTAACTTAATTTCATTAAAAGAAGAATCTTAAAACAATTTCATCCCAACTAGAATTTCAATCAAGCTAAAGACCATCATTTCTGATATCTTTTTGAAGAGTTGATCCTGATCAATTAGATCCAACATTCCATATGCAGCAAAAGTCATTGACTACAGTTCTAAATACTTCTAGTAACTGATAAAATGTAGACACCTGCTTTCTTCCGACTGATATAAAGTTTCGTTTCATTACCTTATGTTCCTTTGTAAGACTTCAATCCTGCTCATGAGCTTGGGATATTCCAGGCACCAGTTTCCCTAAATAACACATTTGCATCATTCAAAAAGGTTAACTTTCAAATACTATATATGCTGCTTTCTGTCATCAACTTCCCTTCATATAAAAACAATGCATGCACCTTAAAAAGTCCTTAAAGATACAAACTGCCAAAGAACATCTGAACATCTGATATACGATAATTGTGAAAGTTGCATTTACAGGAAACGTAAACTTGTGCAAGGGCAATCTAAGCTTTGAGAAAATAGCAGAGAAAATATAGAGTTAAGTAAGGGTTAGATAGTCCTGACATAGATTGAGTTTAACAAAGAGTTAAAAATTGTTGTTTTGGTAGTAATGTCACGGATAAAATTACAAATAAGGTTTTGGAGTTAAACCATATTAAAGGTATTTCAATAGGAAGGCAAAAGGTGGATGTTTCACACTGTTAAAGTGCATATTACACTATTTTCTTCTCTCATGGTGGCAAAATTCCCCACATACAATCTCTCCTTTTTAGTTTCTCAACCTTTTTCCATTCCCTTCTATAAATTTCTACCATTGTTGTAAACATGATTGGAAAAGAAATAAGGAATATCTTTGGAAAAGGCTTAATGAAATTAAATGCAATCATTTGGTGAAATGGGACATAATGTCTACACCCCAAAGTAAGAAGGTCAGAGGATTAAAAAGTGGTTGATTGAGAGTTTTAGAAGTTAAATTTGTTCTACATCATTAAGTTGCCAAGGCATTATGGTGCATATATATCGTTGGACACTCTCCTCTTTTGAGTCAACTTTGAGAAGTGAACTTTACCTAAACCCATTTATTATGGTATCAAAGCCATGTGTTTGTAGGAATGATAGGTTTAGATCAAGTCGTGCATGTTATACGTGAAGAAAGGTGTTACAAGTTGAATTTCTCCAACACATGGTACCAAGTCATGTGTTTATAAGCAATGGCTTGGACCTCAACTTTGCATGCTATGTATGAGGGAGAGTGTTAGAAGTTGAATTTATCTCACGTTAGCAAATCATGGGCTATTATATATGCAGTTAGGAACCCTTTTTCTTTAAGCTAGCTTTTGTGGCTGAGAACTCCTTTCTTTAAACTAACTTTTAAAAATGAATTCTATTTTTATCATGAAGGAATAACTTTAAAGGTTCCCTTTAGAACTAAACTCTTTATGGTGTGCAATTATCAAAAGTAAATAAGGCCTTCACGAAAATGAATGGGATGCTCAAGAATTCTATTAGGAGTCCTTGAAAATCAATTTCTCAAGAATATCATTTTTTTTTTTTTTTTTTTTTTTTAGCCTTAATTGAAGTTGAAGATTGGAAATGGAGAGAGAATACATTTTTGGGAGGATACGATAGATTGGTGATTCTCTATTGTGCTTTATGTTTCCACATGTCTATAGTTATCAAGACACAAAAACACTATCATTAAGGATATGATAATCTCATTTTCTCCTTCTTTGAGTTAGCATTGAAAATTTTAACTTTTTGAGAAGATTGAAGGATAGAAATAGTCAAGAGCTCAAAGTGTCTTAGCTTTGGTGGACCAAGAATCCCTTGTTAAAATGAGAAAGGATAGAAGAGTTTGAAAGCTCAAGTCTAGTATGTTTTTGTGCAAATCCCTCCTCCATTGGTTAGTTGATAAGGATTATTTTAGCCTCTTTGAACCAGTCCACATAATTTGGGAAGCCAAAGCAGCTTGTAAAGTCAAGATTTTTGCTTGGACAATCTCTCTTGCAAAAGTATATAAAAGTGATGTCCAAAGCAGGTTTCTGAATTAATATCTATCTGATTCTTGTTTTATATTGTGCAAAAGGAATATGGAATCTTTGATCATCTATTTTTGCATTGTAGTTTTTCTTTAAGATTATGCTACAAACTTATCTAGACGGCAACCATTAAATGGGTCATTTTTAACCTCCTATAATGATTTCATTCAGAACATATTTTGTCCATAGGACTTGTGCGATTTTAGGTACTTTTTTGGTGATTTGGTAGGTAAGCAACAAAAGGATTTTTGAAGATATATGTGAAGATGACATAATCACTCGTGAGACAGAATTTTTTTTTTGCTTACTACTTTTTGAATGTCAGCCTCTAAAGTTTTTCAAGATGCTTCTTTTTTATTCATATACTTAGATTGAGAAATGATTTTTGGGTATTTTCGTACTATTTAGCATTGATGTTTGAGTTTTCATAGTTTTTTTGAGTTGATCATTAATACTGTATAGAATTCGTGATCATTTAAATGATCGAACCATTAATTTTAGGGGGCAATTTATTCACTCTTTTGAAATTATTTCAATCGATAAATATTTATACGTTCTTCTAAAATAACAAAGAGTCCTCAATGGCACAGGTATATATAATATAAGCAATTAAAAACAAAATGACAAGGTAAATAATGCATCATGCTAATAATCATTTGACAATAAAGAATGCAAACCACATTTGTATCTTCTACAATAATTCACATTTTTGAGTTATCTACTAGATTGGCTGTTTGAAGTACCTGAGCTTCAGAATCAGTAAGGAGAGGTTGGTCCTGTGCATATACATGCCTCTCATATCGTTCAAGGATCGTATCCATGCTGTCACACAGGAGAAGTGCAAAATTATTAAGCCAATAAGACCTTATGAGTTTGTGCATGAAATGAGTTTTTTCAAAGATGAATAAGATCTGCCAGATTATACACAAAACTACTGGTCACCTAACTAACAAAATAATATAGAAGAGGGTGCACTACTCTTATATGGAAGCTGAAAGATATCAAACTTAAAAGTTGATGCACATTAAATAGAAGAGCATCTTGATACAGTTTACTAAAGTGGAGTAATTCATGAGCCTTAATATTGACATCTCTACAGCAAACATTTTTATATTTTTTCATAGACGCTTTCTGCTATGCCTACAAGAGTCTGAGGTCAAGGTAATGGTTCCCTGAAATGGCTTATAAATTTCCGGACATGTGTGTTACTGTTATATGCACAATAAGGAAGGAATTCAACTAAAGAAGCTGGTCTGTAAAGCTGAGCAAGAAAGAAACACTGGTGAGCTATATTGCTCAATCAAAAGAATATTGCACCTATATTATGAAATCCTGTAAACTCATTATTAAAAGAGACTGATAAAAAAGCTTTAGCTGAGAAACTTTTTGGAATGTAATGACAGTTACCCTCTCATAATCATCATACCATAAAATCTCAGTGGGTTAGAAATGATAGGAAATTGAGAAAAGAGGCATCTCAATTTTATTAAAACCATTAGTTCTAAGATAAGAAAAGACTGGAAAATGAACTAGAAGCTCCACTGTAACTTCTTAGAATGAAATCTGATTTATTGAGATACAGCTAAAAGGAAAATGAGACCCTTCACTAAAGTTTATAAGCCAAAAATTTTGTAAGTCTAGAACCAGAAGAGTATGTAGTATCAAAACAAGAACTATGGGTGAAAATGTTGAGCAACTAGAAATAAATATTAATAAAAAAAAAAAAAAAAATTAAAACTAAAGGAGTTAATGGATAGTACTCAAGACCAATAGCCATCAGAGTTAAACATGGCTACAAGACAAACTCAACAATAATTTCTTAATACCAAAACAAAGCACAAATGGTGAGAAAACACTGTTCTCAACAATTTGAGTCACTTATATTGACACTTTTGCTCCTCACACTCCAAACAAACAATTAAAAAATAAAAGAATGGTATATTTGTTAACTTGATACTGTAACACAATATATATAAGTTTAAGTGAATTTTAAATTCTTAATCTAAGTTATTAAGTACTCAAAACATTCTCAAGGGTAACTCCAGAATGACATTTTGGTATCAATACCATGGCTGAATGAATGAACAAGCTGTATATCATTGAAAGTTCTATTAGTGATTTGGAGTTCTGAAGAGAAATTTATAACCAATTATTTTAAACAGGTCCAAATTCATTGAATGTTGAAGCTACACAAGAAATTCAATATTCCACAAGATTTTAGTTTCTTTAGTTTCTTAGTAGGAATTATGAGTTGTATTTAGTGTTAAGTGAAAGATTTAAGTACCTTATAAAGTCATTAGAGTTAAGTAATCTATTTTGAGTTAACGTAAGTCATCAATTTTGTTACCTAAGGAAATTACCAGTGGTTAGAAAGTTTTTCAAAACTAATATATAAGTCCTTAATGTTGTAACCTTTAGAGTGATAACTTGATATGAATAAATTTCATATCTACAGAGAATTTGATCAATTTTTACTTTAATTTTGTATTCCTATGATAGATTTCATTGAGTAGTGACTTTTCTAAGTCCTGTATCCGTTGTTCAAATCTATTAGGTGGTGATACTCTAAATCCCTTTGGTGTCACTCCGAGGTGGTGATATAATGTATCCCTATAGTTTTTTTTTCTAGCATGGTGAACTTTAGTATTCCTTTGAGAGGGATGTGTGTTTATAGTGTTTCCATTATCCCAGTATCACATTGTTAAAAAGCTTGACTAAGTATTATTGAGGACCTATTAGGCAGCTAAATACTGGTGTTGAATCTTAGAAATTAGATTGAAGTTTCAATAATGTTGCATATACAAAACTAGGATCAACCGATATAGTTGCTTATGTGTCTATACCACATTAACTATAAGGAAGTTAGTCACTTATCTCAATTGATATGGTACTAACATGTAAACAGTCACATAAATAGGGATATAAAGTTGAGATCCTAATTTTGTATTTATATCATTATTGTTAAAGTTTTACCTCAAGTGGTAGCTTGCACAACACTCAAGCAGAAAAAGTATGAAAGAAGTGGAAACATTGGAATTTTAGTAGATAAAACAATGGTTATTACCAAACAGTGAGAAAAGATGTGCTCTCCAATCATTTCTGATATCTTTTTGAAGAGTTGACCTGATCAATTAGATCCAACATTCCATATGCACAAAAGTCATTGACAGTTCTAATACTTCTAGTAACTGATAAAATGTAGACACCTGCTTTCTTCCGACTGATATAAAGTTTCGTTTCATTACCTTATTTCCTTTGTAAGACTTCAATCCTGCTCATGAGCTTGGGATATTCCAGGCACCAGTTTCCCTAAATAACACATTTGCATCATTCAAAAAGGTTAACTTTCAAATACTATATATGCTGCTTTCTGTCATCAACTTCCCTTCATAAAACAATGCATGCATCTTAAAAGTCCTTAGATACAAATAGCCAAAGAACATCTGAACATCTGAATACGATATAGTGAAAGTTGCATTTACAGAACGTAAACTTGTGCAAGGGCAATCTAAGCTTTGAGAAAATAGCAGAAGAAATATTAGTTAAGTAAGGGTTAGATAGTCCTACATAGATTGAGTTTAACAAGAGTTAAAAATTGTTGTTTTGGTAGTAATGCACGGATAAATTACAAGGTTTTGGAGTTAACCATATTAAAGGTATTTCATAGGAAGCAAAAGGTGATGTTTCACACTGTTAAGTGCATATTACACTATTTCTTCTCTCATGGTGGCAAATTCCCCACATACAATCTCTCCTTTAGTCTCTCAACCTTTTTCCATTCCCTTCTATAAATTTCTACCATTTTGTAACATGATGGGAAAGAAATAAGGAATATCTTTGGAAAAGGCTTAATGAATTAAATGCAATCATTTGTGAAATGGGACGAATGTCTACACCCCAAAGTAAGAAGGTCAGTGGATTAAAAAGTGATTGATTGAGAGTTTTAGAAGTTAAATTTGTTCTCACATCATTAAGTTGCCTAGGCATTATAGTGCATATATATCGTTGGACACTCCATCTTTGAGTCAACTGTGGGGAAGTGAACTTTACCTAAACCCATTATTATGGTATCAAAGCCATGTGTTTGTAGGAATGATAGGTTTCGACTAGTCATGCATGTTATTCGTGGAAGAAAGGTGTTACAAGTGAATTCTCCAACACATGTACCAAGTCATGTGTTTAAGCAATGGCTTGGACCTCAATTTTGCATGCTATGGATGAGAGGAGTATTAGAAGTTGAATTTTCCACGTTGGCAAATCGTGGGCTATAATATGCAATTAGGAACCCTTTTGCTTTAAGCTAGCTTTTGCTGTTGGAGTCCCTTTCTTTAAACTAACTTTTAAAATGAATTCTATTTACATGAAGATAACTTTAAAGGTTCCGTTTAGAACTAAACCTTAATGGTGTGCAATTATCAAAAGTAAATAAGCCTTCCCGAAATGAATGGATGCTCACAATTCTATTAGGAGTCCTTCGAAAATCAATTTCTCAAGAATATTTTTTTTTTTTTTTTTAGCCTTAATTGAAGTTGAAGGAAATGGAGTGAGAATATTTTTTGGAAGATATATAGATTGGTGATTCTCTATGTGCTTTATGTTTCCACATGTCTATGGTTATCAAGACACAAAAACACTATCATTAAGGATATGAAAATCTCATTTTCCCTTCTTGAGTTAGCATAGAAATTTTAACTTTTGGAAGATTGAAGGATAGAAATAGTCAAGAGCTCAAAGTGTCTTAGCTTGGTGGACCAAGAATCCCTTGTTAAACGAGAAAGGTAGAAGAGTTTGGAAGCTCAAGTCTATATGTTTTTGCGCAAATCCTTCCTCCATGGTTAGTTGATAAGGATTATTTAGCCTCTTTGAACCAGTCCCACATATTGGGAACCAAAGCACCTTGTTAAAGTCAAGATTTTTGCTTGGACATCTCTCTTGCAAAAGTATATACAAGTGATGTCCAAAGCAGGTTTCTAATAATATCTATCTATTCTGTTTTATATTGTGCAAAAGGATATGGAATCTTCTGACATCTATTTTTGCATTGTAGTTTTTTTTTTAAATTATGCACAAACTTATCTAGACGGCAACCATTAAATGGGTCATTTTAACCCCTATAATGATTTCATTCAGAACATATTTTGTCCATAGGACTGTTGCGATTTTAGATATTTTTTGGTGATTTGGTAGGTAAGCAACAAAAGGATTTTTGAAGATATATGTGAAGATGACATAATCACTCTATGAGACAGAATATTTTTTTGCTTACTACTTTTTGATGTCAGCCTCTAAAGTTTTTCAAGATGCTTCTTTTTTATTCATATCTAGATTGAAAATGATTTTTGTATTTCGTACTATTTAGCATTGATGTTTGAGTTTTCATAGTTTTTTTGAGTTGATCATTAATACTGTAGAGATTTGTGATCATTAAATGATCGACCATTAATTTTAGGGCAATTTTATCACTCTTTTGAAATTATTTCAATCAATAAATATTTATACGTTCTTCTAAAATAACAAAGAGTCATCAATGACACATTATATATAGAACGCGGTAGCAGCCGTTGGCTGATGACTTTCGTACTTAATTGTAGATGCTACCTATTTAGATTGCACTAACAAAACTGAGATTTGTCATACAAGTATTCTTCTGCTTGTGGGCAAGTTTTGGGCCTGGTAGCCATGTTTACAGGAAAAAAGAAATTCTCAAATGAACAGCATGCTAAACCATGCTTTCCAAACAGTATCTACTATCTAGTATGCTAACTACATGGTTACTTAAGCATGTATTTTCCTTTCTCTACCATAAATTTGTGAAGTGCGAG